TTAATCAGTCTTTGTACATTAGAACCAGCAGCTGGAGTGTTTTGAGTGATAATGAAACCTGTAACAAGGCATCTTCAGCCGTCTTTTCAAGACAATAAGGGAATTAAAATTTCAATTTAAATGCAGAGGTTTGAAACACGCTTCACTGGCAAAATTACTTCAATTAATGTGAGTGGAATACAAAGGATAGACTGCAGAAATGTAATGCAGCAACCAGAAATTATGTCATTAATGTGCTTGCATCAACCCAGCACAATGACTGCAAAGGTCTAATTTAAACCACACATATCACAGAGCTACAGGCTACAATATTAATCAAGTCTCTGATTTCAGTGTGATGGATACAGGCTTCTTGTAAGATCATTTTTAGCTTTTCATAAGCCAACAGCAGCTGTTTACCTTGAAGAAAGAAACAAAAGGCCAGACCTATTTGCAGACATTCCCTGTCATGACAATTTAATTATTTTATGCAATACTCAGGTTATCATATCAAAAGAAGAAATAATATCTCACCTACAAGCCAAGCCTATAGCTACCAGACCAGTCTGATGGTGAAGTAGGAATAGCAGGAGTTGCCAAGAGCAATGGGTCACCGTAGAGTTATTTACTCTGGATTTATTAATCTATTCTGAGTAGAGATGAAATTACTAAGCATCTACATCTGACTTAAAATGGAAATGCAAAATCTTTTGACAAATAAATCCAAGGAAATCAGGGAGTTTTGAAAGACTAGACTGCTTTGTCTTCACTTTCTACTGATGTCTTTTAGCAAAGACTTCCATTTGGAACCTTGAGATGCCTTAAGTAGATTTTACTTCTAACAGCACATAACCATGGGGAAAGAAAATGTGATTGTTTTTCATGTGAAGCCCAATAAAAGAGCAATTATAGAGCTTACTACTCACTTTTATATACCGAAGACCAAGTTGAAGATATCTCCCAACCTTTTAACTGCACTTTAAATCCTGCCTCCACGAAATCTTTGTATATTGGGATATACAAATCATTGTTTATTGGGATATGCCAATTCCCCAGATCATGCAAAGTTGTAAAATGGTAATGATACGAGAAGTGGAGTTGTTGAAACAAATAAGTCAACAAATGTAACATATTTCAAATAGTACCAGAACATGGTAAGTACTCAATATATACTAGCTACAGTTATCATTGTCATTCATTTAATTATTACAAAAAGGAAAGGTTAGAAACTAGAGAACCTTTCCATTAAAAAATAAATAATGAAGAAAAAGCAGAACAAAGCTCCCACAAAAGAAACACCTTTTTCTCTAGGTAGTGGTATTAAAGTCTTCCAGATAGTCACCCATTTGGCTAATGATTTGTGAACTCTGACTATATGAGCTACACTATGCTAAGAACCAGGATAGACAAAAATAGATAAGACAAAACCCCTCCCCCCTCAATGACCTACCACACAAACAAAAAGAGTTATATTAAAATGAAACATGCGATGTAATGGAAACAAAGAAAAGCACCTAGCTATCTGAACATGTGGGACATTCAGAGAGTTGATGAAATTTGAGCGAAGTCTTAAGAAATAAGTCATCATTTTCCAGGCAGACAGTACTGGGAATCAGTTCAGGGAAATATATGGTCAATTAAAAAAGAAAAATATATCACATCCTTATGCAACAGCAACCAATAACTAGAAACCTTAATAAATAAATAGCTACTGTTTCAAAAGACAAGAAAATGTAATGCCCAGAAATAAATCTAACAAAATATATATAGTATCTCTAAGGAATATATTGCTAAGCATTACTGAAGGACACAAATGAAGATTTTAATAAATGAAAGGAATACTATGTTCACAGATAAGATGACTTAACATTGCAAAGATAATTCTCTTAAATTCAATCCATTAGCTACTGAAGGTTCAAGTGATTCTCCTGCCTCAGCCTCCTGAGCTAGCTGGGATTACAGCCATGTACCACCATGACCACCTAATTTTGGATTTTTAGCAGAGATAGGGTTTCACCATGTTGGCCAGACTGATCTCGAACTCTTGACCTCAAGTGATCTGCCCACTTCAGTCTCCCAAAGTGCTGGGATTACAGGCATGGGCCACCATGTCCACCCACAAAGACAATTTTGAATAGTAAGATCAGAGAATCTCTTCATATCCTATCAAGATGTATTATAAATTTATAGGAGTTAAAACAGTATGGTTTGGGTGCAGGTACAAATAATACCATTGATCAAAATAAAGAACTCAGAAACAGATCTATGCATATGTGAAAACTTGGTGGTATCTGTCCAAAATAGCATTATAAATCAGTAGGAAAATGATTCAATAAACAGCCGGAGCCAACCGGCTATATAGAAAAAAGATAAAATTAGATCCTCAGTTGATACAATATAAAAATGGACTTTTGAAAGTTTCAAGAAGAAAACATAGCAGATTCATTGGAATGGAAAACAATTTCTTACATCAAAAATCACGTAACAGGCTGGGCACAGTGGCTCATGCCTGTAATCCCAGCACTTCGGGAGGCCAAGGCAGGCAGAGCACTTGAGGTCAGGAATTCGAGACCCAGCCTGATCTACAAAAATTAGCCAGGCATGATGGCACATGCCTGTAATCCCAGGTACTTGGGAGGCTGAGGCAGCAGACTCACTTGAACCTGGGAGGCGGAGGTTGCAGTGAGCTGATATTGTACCACTGCACTTCAGCCTGGGCAATAGAATTAGACTGTCTCAAAAAAAAAAAAAAAATCACATAACAAAAAATACTGAGAAATTTTTTTGCATTAAAATTTTTAATTTCTTTGTAACAAAGACACCATAAACAAAGGAAAAAGATAAACCCCCCACTGGGAGAACATATTAGCAATCCATCTAACAGACAAGAAGAATATCAGAATATATAAACAACCAAACAGAGAAAATGGAACCAAACCTCCAGAAAATGTGTCTTACACACTCACTCTTTGGTGGACGTGACTGTTCTTCCTCCCTATTCCACCCACACCCCCACCCCAACCAAATAGTTTTATTGATGATTATCATACCCAACCTGGCTCAATTTAGAATCAATTCGGAAATACCCAACCCTACATTTCTGAATTAGGGGGAAAAAAATAAGATTTTCTTCTGTAAAGGTGGAAAGATGTAGACACAGCCTATACCCCGTTTTCCCTTAACTCCCAACCTCCTCCCTCACACACAGTAGGGACCAGTCTTCAGTAGAACAATGAAGAGGACATGCAGAGAAAACACACAGGTGACATTCCACGTACACTCCTGTTCCTTTGGCAGACTGGTTACATGAGTCAAACAATTATTTTTACTTAAGCTAGCTAGAGGTGAATTTCTGTAACTTAAAACCAAAAATTTAAAGTATTTAATGAGTCTTGAAGAAAATATATCAGAAAAAAGGGACAGTATTCATTATTGATTAGCCATTCAGTAAATAAATTAGCCCTTAAGTAAAAAGACCGTAACACAAAAATCTGAAATCCTAAAACGAACATAATTAACACATAAACAAATTCTAACAACCTATTTTAGTCTGTGGCACTTACTTAAAAACAAGCCCACTCCAAAAAATCGTGACTCAAATAGATGTATATTTGCTACATAAATATATACATGCTTATCTATTCTGATTGCTGAATCTTGATGATTTAGCACAAGTATGCATTCATAATGCATCAATCAACACTAAAGGTGAAAAGTAATTTTTTCCTATCAGACACCCTATAGTCATTATTATTAAAGAAGATGCCACCGTAAAAAAGATGCTGAAAATAGCCAATTCTTTTGTCACTCCCAAGAGCCAATATTTTGTTGTTGTTGTTTTTTGGGGTTCTTTTTGAGACAGGGTCTTGCTCTATCACCCAGGCTGGAGTACAGTGGCACGATCATGACTCACTGCAGCCTCGAACTCCCAGCCAAGGGTCAACTATTATTAATCTCCTTCCACTGTGGAAATTAACCATTCGGTCTTATCACATAACCTGGTTTTAATAGCTGATAAAATATTATCAGATATTAAAGTGGCACTTCTCACTCCTTGGTTACCAAATTTCCTTAAAAAGCTTCTTAGAAAGGACTTTTAGCAACATAATTCTTGGAAGTCTAAATGAATTAGAACTACTTAGAGCATTTAACCTGTGTCTCTACCAATTCCCCTCAGTTTTTTTTTCCAGCGTTAAAGCCAATCTAATTTGGTGAAGCAAAGATAAAGGGCTTTCACCTACTGTGGGGAAGAAAAAGACAACAATACAAATACAGCCCATCTGCTACTGAGAGCTCGTGTAGTCCTCAGCCAACTCTGAGATGGAACTGGGATCGGGTGGCTAGAAGGGAAGGGAGAAAGAGCAGCCCTAAGACCCACAGTCCCTGGAAAGTCAGGTTTATTAGGGAGAAAACTCTGTATTTCCATTTTTTTATTCATCTTCTTGACACTCAGCCACATGAACCACCAATTCCATCCTTCTGGGAACTTTTAGCAATTCAGAAAGTAGCATGCACAATGAACTAAGACAGAGGCTAAAGGCTAGACAGTGGAGTACTCTTGCTCAGTAAAGTTTCTTCCAGTATTAGTTTCCTAAAACTTTATTTCTTATCAATTTCAAGGAAAAGAACAAAGACCTAATGTAAAATTTCCTCCAAAAAATGTGTGGAACACTAGTATATAAATCTTCAGAAGTCCTGTCTCATGTAAATTTCATTCTTTAAAATTGGTTTCATTAACTATCTTCCTCTGAAGCTAAAAAACACTTCTCATTACCATTCTAACCTGATTTAAGTACTGGTTTCTTACTATTATATTTCTTGCCATTGTTACAAAGGCAGATAATACATAAATAATAATCACCTACCATTTCAAACACGAGAATTAGAAAGAGAACCAGCCAGGCTTCACCTGCAAGGGCTCATGAATCCCAAGAGGGCAGTTTATAATGTGCTATATGCATTACAGGGCTCGGAGAGAACAAAAGAGAATGCTTTTACATCTTAACAAAAATGACCCTTACCAGCATGTCAGTAGCGCTGAGATAGTGCTTGCTGGCCATGCACTGTTCCAGCTTTTGAGGCACTTGCTTGATATTCTCAATTTCATCCAGCAAGTTCAGGACGTGCTTATGCTCAATTCCTTCAATCCAGAGTTTCCGAAGCTCATCCCGTTTGCAGTGCAGCAGCATCTTGCATGAAAGCAGGTTCTCTTTTACCTGCAATAAAACAGATTCAGTCTTTGGTCAGTCCAAAGTCTTGCCAGTCTAAACCTATGAACTAGTTAGTAGTCTTCACTAGTACTACTGCATGTAGCAGTTCCTAATTCCCACCGCCACTTACTCTCCTTAGTCTGCCTCCAATATTCTAATCCTGGTTCTGACATTGACTCACTTGGGCACATCTCCACCTCTCTCTGTTTATAATTTCTCTCCCATGAAATGAGAAAACTATTCCCAACCTACATTTGAGTGAATCTAGAAAAAACTACTAAAGAGAAAGCACTCTGAAAATTTGAAATACCACATAAATATTAATACATCTAAAAGGGGAATGATCAATGTGAGAGTCCATGCTATGATACCTTCCCCAATTCTCCTTGCAAATGTCCTATCCAGCTGATATGTCACTTGGTCCATGCTTCTAGCTCTAAAACTCCAGCTAAAGTTTAAAACCAAGAAACTGGATGCTCAACTCAACTGACTAAAATAAAAATAACCCCATTTTCCAAAAGAGAGTAGGCACAACCACAGACAATATCAAAATAAAAGGACATACCAAGGCTTTTATGCCTTACATTCTGAATATTAGATATTAAATAAGACAATCCCCACCACTCCTATAGATCTGCACAGTATAGTAACCAGCATAGGCAAAACATGACAAAATAAAGGGGACTGGAGAGGAATGGAGGAGGTAGTTGTGATACACCTAATAGGAGTAAGTTTTTATTTGCTCCCCTAATTGAAAATTTTTAACTTTTTCAATACGGAAAAATTTTAAAAACCATGATCTTTCAAAATTCACAGAACTACTTTCATATATTTTTGATAGTGCTCACATGTATTTTTATTTAAATTTGAGTCTAATATTTCTTCACAGTTTTGTTTCTGGTTTTTGTTTGCGGTAACATTTACCACATGAAGACATCTCAAGTATATCAGATGGTTAAGTTTTGGCAAATGCACACACCTGTAAAATCCAAATCTTCTTCAATACATGGGACACATGCATCACCACAGAGAGTCTACCATATTTTTGATAACTGAAAATCTATATTCTTCATCTACAAGATTTGGTGTGGTGATGAAAATATTCACTGACACTATACTTCTGGTGATTACAAAACTATATTTCAACACTTACTCAACAAGTATGGAAAATATGAAGACAAAACGCTAAGATTAAAAGGTTTCTTGAGAAAGTACCTAATCCCTTCCTACAACTTCTTGACAACACCTAAATCATGCTTCTATGAAACTCTCCCATGTTAAAAAAAAAAAAAAAAAAAAAGTCAAATAAGAAGACCTTGAAACCTCTCTTAATAAGTATAATAGACTGATTATTGATGGGGGGGGTGTCATAGACCCTGAAGAAGATGATTCCAATGATTCTACTCCTTCCTGCAAGCCTACCAAAGTAATAGCAAAGAAATTTTTTAAGCATAAAAAAAGAGAACAGAGAGGAAGAACAGCAAATAAGAGATGGTAACAAAACTGGAAACTAGCAAGAAGGTGGACAGTAGCAACTAAATTAGCAAGCAAGAGAAATCTGAAAACCTTAGCCTGGAGTAGGATTTGCTAACACTAAAAAGGAGGCACCAAATACACTAAAGGCAGAGGTATTGGCTTAAAAGTTTCTATAGGACTATTTTGAGCCCAAAATCCCCATCAAGCCACACACATGGGTAATTCCCTCCCCACAGCATTGGCCAAATCAGGAGCAAATGAATTGGAAAGGTTCTAGACAAAGAAAAGCCAGGCACGGGTGAGGGGAGGGCATGAGACAGAAAACAGGAGGATGAAGTCAAAGTGGGACCTATTCAACAGTATGATCCTCAGCCCCAGGGACCCTCAGTCTTCATCAAACAGTTAGGCTCCAAAACACTGGCAGCTTGACTTTTCACCCCAACACAGGGGACATATGACTTCTCCCTTGGGAAAGTGAATGGGTCCAAGTGAAAAGATCTATACAGATAGTGACATCTGAGGTTTCAATGAAGAAACTGCTGAGTCCCTACCCAATCATCATAGACAAGCTCCATAGCAAGTTCTGAGCTTCCAATCAGCTTTGTAGTGCCTGCCTCTTACACACAAATGGTTAGCCAAGGATCACCAGACATTCAGGGTAAGCCTGCAAAATGGAATGACAGGCATCAAACAAAAAAAAATTACTGAAGCCAGACATGAGGGAACAGAAACTATGCAGGAAATAGAATTTTGTTAAACCATAATTAACATCCTTAGGAAAAATAAAAGAAACTATTACATAAATTAAACAAAGATAGGATGATATAAACATTTTCAAGAAATGAAAAACAACTCTTAGAAATTAAAACTGAAAATTTTTAAGTCCAATAGAAAGGTTAGAAGGTACCCTTGAGGAGGAAATCTCCAAAGAGGAAAACACCAAAAATGATATAGAAGGTAAAACACAACAAGGGGATTGATCCAAAAGGTCCAACACTTACCAGATAGGAGTTCCAAGGAAGGAAAAGTGGGAGAAAAACGGAGTGTAGAAAAATAGTTTTAAATAAATTAAATAATTTTTTTTAAAAACTGCCTGCCCAGTGCAGTGTCTTATTACAATCCCAGCACTTTGGGAGGCCAAGGTAGAGGACCGCCGGAGCTCAGGAGTTCAAGACCAGCCTTGGCAAAACAGGGAGACCCTGTCTCTACAATAAATTCAAAAATCAGCCAGGTATGGTGGCACATGCCTGTAGTCCCAGCTACCCAAGAGGTTGAGTCAGTAGGATCACTAGAGCCTGGGAGATTGAGACTGCTGAGAGCCATGATCATGCCACTGCACTCCGGCTTAGGCAACAAAGCAAGACTCCAATATTTTTTTTTTTTTAAGAAGAAGAAAAAAAAAAATGCCAGAACAAAAGACACAAGTTTTCAGATTGAAAAGGCACACCAAGTGCTCAAGAAAATGGAAGGCAAAAAGACCCAAGCCAGGACCCATTATTCTGGCATGTAATAACACAGGACATAAAGAGACAATCATGGAAGCTGTGAAAGGAAAAAAGGAAAAACAGAACCTACACCAAGCCTTGTGAATCAGAATGACATCGGATTCTCTCAGCAGCAACATTAAAAGCTACAAAACAAAAAAAATGATATACCTTCAAAATTTTAAGGCAGAATTATTTCCCAGAAGAACTATCAATCAAATATGAGGAAAGAATAAAGACATTTTCAGGCATGCAAGCTCTCAAAAATCAACTTTATATGCACTGTATCTCAGCAAATTACTGAAGAATGTGTTCCACCACAAGAGAAAACAGAAGGAAAGAAACAAGGGATCCAGGAAATGCAATACAGAAGAAAGGCAACAGGACTATTCAATCAGTAACTTCAGGAAAACAACAACACAACCACACAAGAGAAAACATAATCACCGTGCACTGTATGGCTTGGATGTAAATATTAGTGTAGTTATAAAAAGGTAAGCACTGATCATCTATTTAACCAAAACTAGAATACAACTACATAGAGAGGATGAAGAAAGAGGACGTGGTGGGATGGGGGGAGAGATTGGGAAGGGAGCTAACTCCTCATCTTCCATAGTTGGAAGCTAATATACAATATTTAAAATAAAAAAACACAGCACAAGCACACTATTAAAAACAGAAATACCTAAAACAGAAAAACTGAAAGAGTAAAAGTCAGCACCTCTGAGATGTTGGAACTGGGACTGATATAGGATTAAGCAGGGGAGTCCAGGCTTATATCATCATTTGTGATTTTATTTGACTTTTAAATATATCTCTCAAAGCCATTCCTAGATTCCACTGGAGTTCCTAGTCTCTGGGTTAAGGACTCCAGCTATTAAATCATTCCATTTTAAATCTTTTTTTTTTTTTTTTTTTTTTTTTTTTTTTTGAGATGAACTCTTGCTCTCTCACCAGGCTGGAGCGCAGTGGCACAATCTTGGCTCACTGCAACCTCCACCTCTTGGGTTCAAGCAATTCTTCTGCCTCAGCCTCCCGAGTAGCTGGGACTACAGGCATGCACCACCATGCCCCGCTAATTTTTTTTCTGTTTTTAGTAGAGACGGGGTTTCACCATATTGGCCAGGCTGGTCTCAAACTCCTGACCTCATGATCTGCCTGCCTCGGCCTCACAAAGTGCTGGGATTACAGGTGTGAGCCACCCCACCTGGCTCCATTTTAAATGTTAGCTTAAATCTGTTAGAATTTGACTTCTGATAGCCTACTCATCTCACCTTGCTACTATAATTCTCAGCTTTTTCCTCTATGTGCAATGGTTACTGCAGAAACAGTTAAAAATAAATTTTATGTAACACAACACCCAACTAGGCTCTTGATCAGAGTGGGGAACAAACTTACAGGGTGTCAGTGTAAACTATCTGATTGTCAGCTTGGCAAACTCCTATCTGATTGGAAAATGACAACTGTGGCATTTCACACTAGGATATACACAAGGTAATCAGCTCAATTCTCACTTTTGCTTACTACATGGAAGGAAAGGTGAAGTCAAATTTGTGGGGGTAAAAAACTGGCAACAGGCTGTGTAGAAAATGACATCAACAAAATTTTCTAAACTGCAGTAACAAAGCTACAAACCAACAAAACTACAGGAACTTTTAATACGAAATTGCCCTGAGGCTTCTGCTTTATGATTAGAAAGTCACAGACATGAAAAATGTTTTTTTAAAAATTGGGGGAGGTCAAGCGCGGTGGCTCACACCTGTAATCCCAGCACTGGGAGGCCAAGGCGGGCAGATACCTGAAGTCAAATGTTCAAGACTAGCCTGGCCAACACAGTGAAACCTTGTTTCTACTAAAAATACAATAATTAGCTGGGCGTGGTGGCACACGCCTGTAGTCTCAGCTACTCAGGAGGCTGAGGCAGAAGAATCGCTTGAACCTGGGAGGCAGAAGATACAGTGAGCCAAGATCCCACCACTGCACTTCAGCCTAGGTGACAGAATGGGACTCTGTCTCAAAATACAAAAACAAAAAAAACTCGGGGGA